AATGATTACACAGCATTGTTACTGAAGATGTGAAATTTAAAAATTCATTTATAAGGGGAAGGAATTTTTTTCAGCAGCCTTATGTGAATATAGGACTGTATTTACATCTCTTTTCTCATATCATCTATTCTTTACCAAAAAATGGGCCTGATCAGCCATCTTTGTTGTGCATAGTATTTTTAGGTGCTCGCAGTGCTGTCAGCTGAATTGTTCCTCACGGGGATGGTGTGTGTGAGGGTTTGCTTCCCCAGCTCAGTCCTGCCCTGCTGTCCTCTCCTTCTACCTCTCCTGCATTTCAAGGGTCTTCCTCACCTTCCTTCTCTCATCTGGCATAGTCTTCTCTAGGCTCTTCTTATCTCTCTCTGGGTAATTTCAACAACAGACATAAGTTCAACCATATCCTTCCTATAGTAGATTAACAGATCCACCTCTTGTCTGTAGTATTTACATTTCCTTTGGCCAGCCTAAATTTTGGTCTGGATTTTTTTGCCTTTTTAAAAAATATTAGAAACAATTCAGGTTTATTATAACTAAAGCAGAGGTCTTATTGTCCTGTTATTCCTCAGCTCTTTTATCTGCTTTTCTCAATCTTTATGAAGGTTGCCTTACTCCCGACTCTTACTGATGCTCAGCCTCAGCATTGCCTTCTGAGCTTTTGTAAAGCCTCACATCCAGGTTGTAACCAGGGACTTGTAAGTCGACCATGTTCAGCCATGTGGCTAAAATAGCCCCACTCTCAGGTAGTTGCTTGGTTCTCCTGCAAAGGTTGTTGTCTCTGCACGAGGAGTGACTGTTGAACAGGACACATCTCTGCTCCTCATTGACACCACTGCAAGTGGTAGCAAATCCACATCCCAGCCAGTCTGTCTTTCAACCAATCTGCCTAAATTCCCTCCCTCTTTCTTTGCCTTTTCCTTCCCACAACCCTGTAAGTCTTCTCTTCTGCCACTGACAAACTGTCATGCTTGTATTTATTCCAGATTTCAGCTGTTGGGCCTGTTTTCCTGTCCTCTGTCCTTACTGTAATTTTTTAAATCTCATTTATTTTGTTTTTCTTAATGAAATGAAATTTCAGCTTCTTCAGTTAGAGGGCTCCTCACAAATTAACCACTCCTTTCCCAGCACTCATCAGTCAGGTTTTAGAGCTGGATCCATTGCAAATCATCCTGCAATCAACTCCAGCTTTTTACACTGGGTGAGGAGGGTGTGTGTGGTGGTGGTGGTGGTGTGTGGGGGCTAATCCCAGGTGCCTATAAAACTACCCTTGTCTTTCAGATCTGTTACTTTAGAGGTAGCTTTGCATTTCAGTCATTAAAAAAAGGGAAAGGGACTGGTATTATCTCCTTTCATGTGCATGTGGTCTGTCTGCACCTGCCTCTTGTCTCGTAGAAAAATCTCGTGGAAAATCTTACCCTATGTGCGAACCTACTCTCTTGATACATCTTTTCACTGCTAAAATAGCACAGATGAAAATAAGTTATGTTTTGGCTTTGACTTCTTTTGGAGTCTTGGATGGGAGTGCTAGATCTGACCTGCTGGCTGAGATCCACCTTGTAGATACTTCCTTAATTCACTAAAGTTTAACCCAAGATGCTCCATAATTTGGATTTAATGCTCTTAAATTAACCCTTTTAATTTCTATCTAATGCCCCAACACCTGCAAGGCTATCGTTTGTGAAAGAAAGCTTTGCTTTTGCTTCTTGGTTATCTTGCAATACAGAGATGAGTACTCGACTGTGGGGACAGCAATCTGACAGGGTGTTGTCATCATACAGGCACAGGGAGAGTTGGATATAGGCTGGAGATACATTATTACTTACTCCCTCAAGAACAGCAATCATGTTTTTAAAGGCAGTGAAAATTTGCATTAATTTATGGTTCTCTTTCTTCTGTGCACTGGGTCAGGCTGCATGTGAGAAAACAAGATTTGCAACCCCTTTCCAGTTTCCACTGGTGTTAAGCTAATGTTTATTTTTAGTAAACTGTATCTCAGTGTGTTTTTAAGAATCCTTTTGCAAAGCCTAGCACAACAATTTCATTATCTTTTCTCCTTTTGAATTTTCTTAACAAATATAAAGGATCAGTGTAACTAGTTACACTGTATTTCACGGATAATTTTCAGAAGTCTGGGTCCAGCTCAAGAAGCACTAAGGATTACAAGCATTCTTCTCAGTTGATTTTTTTTTCTCTGTGCTGCTAGTAATTATCCAGATTTGGAAGGTCTGTGTGGGTCTTTCAGGGCCAGGCCTTTTCTGCTGCACCTTCCATGCATCCCTGGGACAGGGTTTCCCTTGCTTTCCCCACACTCACCTATAGTGTGAAATCCTTCCCCTTAAATGCTTATACAGTAAGGCCACCTGCCAGATAAAGCACTGTCTGTCAGCTTTGTTTGATCATGTAACAATTTTGAAACCCTCTTCTCCATTCATAGTGTGGTGTTTGCCCTGTCCACTCTTTTCACTGCCAATTGCCTGCAACACAGGTACCTCTGTCACCACCCCAGACCTCTCCTCTCTGCCTTCCCAGGCAGACAAGGATGTGTCCTTCCTATCAGCTGCTGTGTGTCAGTTTTTGGGCTCTGCCTTAAAGCTTTCTTTTCTGTTTCTTTCAATTCTGAATGCCACTTATTTCACATGCTGTAAGAAGTTTATCTTAAATACCTTGCAGTTAGTTTTCAGTCTGAAATTATTTTTTACGGTATTCTGATAGGTGCCTATCAAGATATTTTCAACTGGCAAAAATGTATTTTAAAAAATTAAATCCAGTTATTTCTTGCACATTTAGAAATCCCAAGCCTTTAAGATTGTACCTAATGTTTGCAGAGCATGAGCACTTCTGGTGAAAACTCCTAATAGGCTTTGAGATGCATTTTTCTAAGCTGTGAACTTCCATTGCTGCCTTGTATATTGTGTGTTGTATATAGGATGTTGTTCAGGCCTTGAGATCCAGGAGACCAAAGAGGGAGGGAGATGTGCATGGAGGGATAATTGTGCCACTTTTGGGACACTGCTTTCTCAAACAGGGCTCCAAAAAAGATGCATTTAGGAGTGGGACGGAGAGGTTCAACTGCTTAACATCACAGGGTGGTAGTAAAAAAAGTACTTGGTTTGCAAAAAAGCTAGTGGTACTGGAAAGGATTCAACCTCCTGTTCTTGGAGGCATAAGACAGCCTCAAATTAAATACATCTTAGGCAGTAACCTAAGAAGATTCTGTCTGTGAGGCTGCTGCAGCTTGTATTGTCTTCTGACCACCTAGTCTGGTCTGTGGGGAAAGTCAGGGTTCGCTGTCCCAGGTCAGCAGTGACCTTTCCAAAGGGAAAAGGTCAGGCTCATGTGAGCTGCTGCATCCTGACCTTCCCCTTGTCAAGCTTCCCTTTCGTGCAGGCTGTTCCTTCTAAAGGTTTCCCTTTGTGACCTGCCTGCTCAGGTTAACCTCTACTTTTTCTTGGTTCTCTGCACCTTATTTCTCCTCACTGTGTGAGGAACAGGAGAAGGAAGTCGACATATTCCACATCATTTTTAGCATCAAATAACTCCCATTTGGTTCACCTCTCCCAGAAAGCATTAATGAAAGTGTTTAAAGGTAACAGCCCTGCTCTATGACCTCCCTGCTCTGCTTTTAAAGTCCAGAACTGTTGCTGAAAAAAGCAACAAGGAGACAAGAGGAGAAGGCCAGAGTGACAGATGCTGAAGTTGAGTTACAATGTTCTCATCATAAACCAACATTTTACGTTCTGCTGGTAGTTCCTCACACTCACTCTGATGATGTACCATTACAACTTTGTGTAGCTACAAGCTAAGACCACCCAAAAGGCTGGGAGGAATAGGGTCCAGGCTTTTGTAAGCATTATGTTATAGTAGCTATAGAAAGACATAACAGTGAGCAATTAATTTGCGTGAAGAATATACATAATTAATTTCTATCGTTTGTGTGTTCGAAGGATAGTGTTTAGTCATACATCTCTACAGCACAAACTGGCACATTGTTAAGGTCATATTTGCTTTAGTTGCATCATTGAGTCTGTCACAGAGTAGTCCTTTATTCTGTTGGTACTCTGTTTCCAAATCTAGGAGTATTTCCTCCTAAACATATGTGCATAATGTAGTGTGTGTGTGCACACAAGGAAAAGGAAACAGATGACTTGTGTTCAGTATAATGGTTGTTTTGGGCTGGAGCTGCTGCAGGCTCCCTGTTGAAAAGAAACGTGTGTGCTCATTTGTTCATTAACAAAGGCGCTGTCGAAGCTGTGCTGATTGTGCAGACCACCCTACAGTCTTTGTGTAGGGTCTTGGTTAGAGAAAGATGTAATCTCCCTTCTTCATAACCTCTCTCCCTCTTTGCTTTCCTCACTGTAATCATAGTGTGCTGATCAATGCCTTCATGACAAGTGGGATCTCAGCTGAGGTTCCCATCAGTGGAGGAGAGAGGAGAATGGATGAGGGTTGGTGGAGAAGTCCAGGTGGGTTACTGCTGAGTAGAGCTTGAGTATAAATTAGCAGTGTGTGTGTTGGAACTGGCACTTAGCATGGGTGAATAGGGCAGTGTCCAGAGTCACATGGAGGCAAAGATCACTGGCTGTTGCAAAGGAGGTGTGAGAGAAATGATCAAGTTGTGTAGGATTCCTCTGGAAGTGGAAGATTGTTCCTTAAGTGTGACAGCTTTGATACAGCAACTTCATGTGTGCTTTACTCCAGTTTTGGAACCAAATTCTTTTGTTCTTTCCTGGTCTGTGACCTCAAGATGGCCTGTGATTTCAGTGTCTTGCTCTGTGCTATCAGATTGTCCAGATGGAAGTCTTCAATATCCTTGTAGTCTTTTATTGCTCAAGATGCTCTAGAAACCCTCAGTGATTTACAGAGTAAGGATTTGGCTAGTTTTTTGCTTTGATCTATAATTTCTCTCTGAAGTATCTCTGCTTTTTTTTTTTTTTTTTGGCATTGAAAATTCCCATGTTACTCACAGCAGATTTGAATCCCTGTTTTCCTCATTCTGCTTTCAGATTCCATTGGTGGGTCGTTTTCAACTTCCTCCCACAGATGCCACCACAAGCAGAAGCACTGTCTCCCCATCCCACAGTGTGGAACTCTGTCCATCAGCCCTCTGCTTTTCCATCCTCACACGAAGGGATCCCAGATCATCATGGACACAACACAGAAGGCGGTGAAGCGCCAGGCTAGCTTCTGCAATGCCATTACCTTCAGCAACAGGCCCATTGTTATTTATGAACAAGTCAGGCTTAAGGTGAGTAAATTATACCTTCCCGTTTTGCTGTGAAGAATGCTGGAGTGTACCAGGCTTTGGTGCTTGCAGCAGATCTCTAGCCCTTCCTTGGAAAGCACAGTAGTCAGATCTTGGCCTTAAAGATCTGTGATCTTCATTAGTACTTCTGCTTCTGTCATGGGGGTTCTTGGAGCCATAGGTACAGACTGCTGTAGAAACTGGGAACAAAAGGGAAATCCGTGTTCCAAAGACACTTGTCTTGATGTTAGACAAGAACAAGAGATCAAATTGAGATTGCTTGGAAAAAGCAAGAAAAAAGGGCTGTATTGATTAGTTAGAAAGGCAGCAGCCTCAATATCTCCCTAGCCGACATGTCCTCTAGGCTTTGCACCCTTCCTGCAGAGGAGTTTTACTGGCAGGCTGAGGGAGGTTGAGGAGTTAGTGAAGGCATTCCATTCCCCAAGGAGCACTTTTGTTCCTGTAAACAAAGCTGCAATGAGGGCTAGTCTCGTGGAGGTGAGTGTCTCCACAGCCAAGACATAAAAAGGACCTGGAAGTGAAGGTGCTTGCTTGTGCACTTGGCAGGGAAAACAGAAGGGTTTGGATGAAAGGATGAAAGGAGCAGTGAGTGCAGTCACAGTTGCTGTCTGCTGACTGCTTTGTTGAATCAGTCACCTGACTGTGGTAGCCCAGAGGATGGAATTCATACTCCTGGTGCTGCAACTGGCACAGGAAATTCAGCTTCTTAAGTCACCATGCCTCCATGTGCATCAGGAGCTGCTTTCTCATGGAGAAATTCCTCAGTCTCCTTAGGAACTGAAGCACTTTTTAGCCCTTAAGGATCTTGGGGCCCTTTGAACTCCATCCACAGATACTTCCCAATCTTTATGCTCTCTAATTTGTGGGACTGCATTTTTCTGTTCTTAGCTGATTTCATGCCTTACATTGGCACAAAGTAGGTCATCTTATTTGGCCACTTTAGTTCATGGCATGCACGAATGATCTAACTGCAAATCCTTCATTTATGCAGGAGTTTTCCAGGAGGTTTTTCATCATACAGCTACCGAGTCTGAATGATTTTGCTGTTACCCATTGCTAGAGGTCCCAGAGTGCTAAGAACTACAGCAGCAAGTCAGCCTTCCCTGCCTCTTCCCTTAGAGCCAGAAAAGGAGCAAGGAATAAGGAATATGCCTCCTTTTGGAAATCTACAGAGATTTCCGTGGTTTCTGGTTCAGGTCCATTGGTAGAAAATCCCTCCTACAGGTTTTTTATGTTTCCCATGGAGCTCTTCTGTTTCCATCCACAGTGGAAGCCCGGAGGACTCACTCACATTGCCTAATGAGATTTTTTCCATGTTGGCCAGCAGTTTGGACAACCAACTGCAAAAACAATCTGGGAGGAGATAAAAGCATCACTTTGCTTTTGAAGACACCATCAGAGATTTGAGTGGATTTAGCGGTTTAGGCAAAGGTTTTGGGTTATTTATTTCTTCCTCATTCTGAAACAAGGTAGCCATCTCTGGAAATTCACACTTGTTTATGACTGTGTATTTTAGGATTTTAGCTTGCATAACATATGTGAAGAATATGCATGCAAATCTGCACAAGAGATTTATAAGCAGAGCTCCCGCTGACTCCAGTGGGAAGGTCTCATGGCAGTAATCAACAGGCTTCAGCAGAACTTGTACTCTAGGGATGGATGAAAATGTGAGACCATCTTCGCTTTTATGATAAGTCCATCCTGTAATTGCCTCGCTACTGTGTGTGCCTGTGGAAAACAGCATCTTAAATCTTCTTACCAGCTAAACGCTAACCATGAACCCAGTCATTTAGGTCCTGTAAAGTCTAAACCCTGTTTGGAAAACAGAAGAAAGAAGTAAGGAGATTTCATTCTATTTATTAGGTATTGTATCTCACATTTTGTTCTGAGATTTTTTAGCAGCTTTGGGAATATGGGAATACATAGGCTGTCAAACAGCCTCAGAGACATATGTCCCAGTGTGGCTTCTTCTGTGTAATTCAGAGCATTGCTAGGGAGTGGAATGAGGTTCTCAAAGATGGCACAAGGCAGTAAAGATCAGGAGCCTGAATCTGTGGAAGCAGGCATGGTTTAGCAGTTTGGGTGTTGATTCTGTGTTTTCCTCCTTCCTTCCTTCTAGTACCCAGTGGACCTCCCAAGCTTTTCTGCTAGCAGTGGCTGCTGAAGAGAGAATTTGGTCCATCATTAACCATTGCCTTTTTTAGCAAAACTGTGTTTCCTTTGTCCAGCTGTGTCTAATTCTTGGCAGGCTTTATACTTGATTTGAATTTGGATATTAGTTTGCCTGTGGTCAGACTGTATTAAGAACTGTTTATAGGTGCTGATTAATACATGGAACATGTGCAGCCTCAATTACCATATGAATATTTACTTCATGCGGCCTGTGATTGCTGTGAAGTATTGGCAAGAGACTAAATTGTACAAATGACAATGAGGCTGTATTTATCTTAGACCCAAAAGCTTTTAGGGCTTGTGGTGAATTTTCTGCAATAATCCAGGCTTCTTCTTGGAGAGTGTGTATTATGTTTCCCCATTTTGTCACATGCATGCCCTGTTCACCCCAATTCTACTTGGGACACTCACGATTCCATTCTACCCTGGTCAGGTATAAAAAAATAGCAAATCTGCTTCAGTCCTTTTTAGTGCCACCCCAGTGTCCATCCCTCAAGCAAGAGCTTTCCGTGGTTCCTGGGACAGAGGTCAGTGCTCAAGTGTTTCATATAAACAGTTTAGGTGCCTGGCTCGACTGAATAGGCATAAAGAGCAGCACTCCCTTAACTGAAAAATTGTGTGCTGATAACTTTTTTTCTGAGCCCTAAGTTATTTTCTCTGATACTTCAATTATAAAACAGAATTCTATAGGCTTTGAATGTCTTTGGTGTGAGATGGTTGTGCCCTCAAGGGCACATGTTTCAGATTTGCCTTGGAGAGGAGCATGTGAAAGAAAAATACAGTATTTACAAATGTGATTAGAAGAGAATCCAGAAGCCCAAAGAAAATGTCTTGTAGAATCCCTTGGTGAAAACCTATGCTTCCAAGTTGGAACACAAGTGGTTGCTGCCAGGCTTTTTAGAACAAAGTCCTGCAGTCCTGGGCAGTTCAGTCTCTGACGCTGCCATTCATCTGAGCCGTTACTGTTTGGCAGAGCAAGAAATTACAGAAGGGCAGCAAGTTTTGTGTGACATCTGGTGGGTGGTACCTATCCATGTTTCTGCTCTTGTCCTGCAGCCAACAATGGAATTGCTTGGGGCTACCAAGGCATTGATGGAAGAGGACTATCTCAAGTGGTGCCATGTTTGCTGCAGGTTCAGTGCGTGAACAGATACACCAATTATGCATCAACTGGCACGCAGGAACTGTCTTGGCTCCACATCAAGGTTGAATCCTGCATCCTTAGGTCTTTCATTTCCTAGTCTGGATGCTGACAGGCTGAATCCCTTTGAGAGGAACGAATCCCAGCAGGTTCATACTCAAACAATAAAATGAGAGGAAAGAATTCTCCAAGGACATCATCTCCATCTGGGGACCATACTAACTCTGGAAGATTCCTTGCTTCCATGGGAAAAAGTGACCTTGTAACTGAGTAGTGTTTTGGATGTCCTGCATGTGTTTAGGACCTGCTGTCTTCTCCCCTCAGACCCCTACAGTTCAGGGCTTAGTTCTTATGAGAAGAAACTGATGGCTCTGGAGGCATCTGTGATCCACTGTCTTGCTATATCTCTCTGGTGCAGAAGGGTGGATATGAGACATGAACCATTCCAAACACTAAAGCAGAGTCTGCTCCTGACCCCAGACACACTGAATAGTTGCATACTGACAGGTGGAGTGTAGTTGTGCACAACGTGTTTTGAAAAACACCACTCACAGCTGAAATGAAATAAACAGGTTTTTCACAATCATTAGACAACATCTATTTTTGCCTCCAAATTGTGTATTTAATAAAGTTAAATTTGTGCTTTCCCACACACAAGTTCTCTGCTGCAAGGCTGTGATTTCATCCAGTATGACAAGCAAAACATGGGAAAGACTGTCTATAACTTGTCTAGGAAACCTGGAAAACTGCATGGTGGTAACTGAGATTCTGGAGTCTGTGCTTTTCCTTCAGGTCATGAGACACCCCACCATCTAAGAACTATATGGGGAGAGCTCTGCAGCTGCAGGTGCTGAGATAAAAGGTCTTAGGGCCATTTTTGGCACGTTTTGGGAGAGGATGATTCTTAAGCCAAAAGGAATTACCCTAGAAATAGAAGTGAATCATCATGTAGCTGTAATTACATTTCACCTCTCCACATAGATTTATTTTGATTTATTTAGTTTTAAATATGGGCATTGTATCCTAAGTATGCAGCATTGCTGCTTGCAGTTAAAAAAGCTACAGCAGTGTTTGGTGTGTAAAATGTTTCCTAAATCTGGTGGGGTCATCTGCATTCTGGCCACCAGTGTTTAAAGCATAGAGCCTGTAGTGTTAAAGTAGATGTTCAAGTGCCAAATGCTGTTATTGCTGCTGTTATCTTTGCAGATCACTAAAAAACAGTGTTGCTGGAGTGGGGCTCTTCGACTTGGCTTTACTTCCAAGGATCCATCGAGGATTAACCCTGAGACTCTGCCGAAGTACGCGTGCCCTGACTTGGTTTCCCAAAGTGGGTTTTGGGCCAAGGCTCTGCCAGAAGAGTTTGCAAATGAGGGAAACATCATAGCCTTCTGGGTGGACAAGAAGGGACGGGTTTTTTATCGGGTGAACGACTCCACTGCGATGCTCTTCTTCAGTGGGGTGAGGACGGCAGAGCCCCTCTGGGCTTTGATCGATGTCTATGGACTCACCCGTGGAGTGCAGCTCTTAGGTGAGTACCTGGGTCCAAATGTGCAGGGATGATGCTGAGTCTGACAGGACCTGTCCCCTCGCTGGGCTGGGACAGGTGCAGGGAAGCAGCTGTTGCTCCTCCCCAGAGCATCTCACAACCTCAGCCTGGGTCGGTGGGTATTTGAAACACAGCAGGTAAATATAACACCAGTGGGAGGTGGGAAACAGCTGCTGCAGTATAGCACTGGAAGCCATCTCTAAGTAAGTGGATTTCTGCTCAGAGGTGTTGCTCTGTCAGAGCTCAGAGCCTGGAGTGTGTCATATACCTTGTAAGACTTTATCTCATTGTCTGCTTTCCCCATGCCAAAGCAGGGAAGTGCATTTTACGTGCTATGGATAAATTCTTCCTGGATGGCACAGTTCCGATTTTCTGGCTGGTTTAATGGACAGATTTGAAACATGGCTATCTTCCAAATTACCTGTGCAAATCTGTGGCTGGTTTTTCCAAAATACTGCTTTCACAGAGGAGTTCGATTTGTCAGTATGCAGCCTTAGATTCACTGGGAGGCAAATCACAGCACTTCTCCATGTAACAGTAATTTCATGGCTCTTGTTTTCAGCATGGATAAGGTTAGGTGGTACCCTGCTGATCTTCACAAGCTGAAGTTCCTTCTGAAGTTGAGAGATCTTGGCTATTTCCTGTTGTGCAGCCTGCCAATCTCAGTTAAAGTGACAACTTTATGGTACATATGAAAAACTTTATTGAAACTTCTTTCTGACAGTTCTGCCTCCTTTCTGCATTCTGTGCTGTATGAAAAAAATCCGGTGGCAGGACTGCCTGTAGCTACCTACATGGCAAGGAAGAGGGATGTGGGTTCTGGAGATGAAGAAATGAGACTGACTTTATTGCAAAAACTCCTGGCTCAAGATTGCACAAGGCAGAGGAATTGAAGAATTTCTCAGCAGCTTTTTCTTTTCTTAGGTGCAGAAAGATTTATCTTTTGTTGTGAATCAGTTTGAATCAGAGCCACTAAGCAACTATTCATAGGCCAAGGTGGTGATACTTGAATTGGGATGTAGAATTTGGGCAAATGTCACACAAAAGGTTCAGTTAGGAAGAGCTTACAAATGACTACAAGTCCTCCATCTGTTCTTGTGAGATTTGGCACCTCCAGACTGCCTTGATTAATGAGGGTCCATAACTCTGCATTATGTGTTTCCTTTCAAAACACCCAAGAAATCATTTCCTATCCGTCATCTGCCCCTGCGTTGTCCGAGCATCTTCCACATCCCCTTTCACAAGGGAAATGTGACTTTTGCCAGCCTCTGACTTAGCTCCAGTCCAAAAGGCTCCGGACTCTGGTGGGCATGAAGTTCCTAAATGAAGCAAGCAGCTTCTGAGTTTACACAGTTGGCGTGGAGCTCAGATACGTGTTTATAGCTTGTTCCAGGAGCCTTCAGCAGACTTTAAGCCTAGCAACTGTGCTGAAACGTCTTCAACCCCAAGTCCTCTCTATCTCCATTCATTATTAAACAGCACTAAAAGTCAAAGAAGGGAAATTGTTGGCTGTGCTGCCCCTGGATCCTATAGACACACCCGCTACAATGTTCTGCATGCCTGTTTTAGTGTATCAGACCACACATATAGCACAAGACAACTTGCCAAAAACGCCTGGGACTTGACAAATGAATTTCATAGCTTAGCTACAAACATATGGTTGAATTCAGCCTGGTATGGCATGCAGGGCATCTGATAGAGGCTGCGGGTGCTGGAGTGGTATGTTGAACAGAAAAACCTAGCACTTCAGATTCCAGTTCAGTGATTTACTGCCCCCTAACCCCAAACATGTTCCTTGTTCTTAAACCTCACTATTTTCTAATGCCTGTAGGGTTACAGGGTCATACTCCACCTCTGCACTGCCTCCATTTGCTTTTATGTGTATTTCACCCAAGAGTCTGACCAAAAGTTTTACCATTTCTGGTGTCTGTCTTTCTGTTTATTGCAGAATTGCTCCCTCCCCACTCCCAGTAATGTAACTTGACTTCCCAAATGAGACTTGCCCAAAGAAAAGATCTGCAGCAGTAAGTCCTGTGTCACTGCAAGATCCCAGCTCTGCAGCGGAGTGGACAGTGTACATTTATGTTCCCAAAAGTGACAACTTCCAAAACTGCTCATTTTTGTTTTTCTTATCTGCGTAACACTGGTAAATCAGTGCCAGCTAAAATGTGGAACCCAGTAAAGCAGGGAGATGTCCAAGTCTAGTGACATTGTTCCTGTTTTACACATTTAATGAAGAGAGACTTGAACAAAGTGGGGGGCAAAGCCTGTGAGAGTTAAATGATTTGGCAGAGGTTGTACAGCAGTGACACCTGACTCAGGTCTTGTTGCCTAACTCAACCCTGCCTTTCTCTCTATCTACATCACAGGCATTGCATAACACTCCGGCATCATTAAAAAACAGCTGGTTTGTACCTTAATTTTTCATTTCCTCCTGCTTATGGCTTTACTCACAGCGTCAGCCTTACTGATAATTACCCACATGTCACTAATGCTGTCAGTGCACAGGTGTATATGGCTGTCACAGATGTTCCTGGGTCCGACTGCCCTTGCTGTATGTTCAGAGGCAGAGGCCTTTAAGGAGCTTCTTTGCTGGCTGGATTTTGAAACAAAACAGGTGAAAAGGGCTTGCATGGTCCACTGCATCACAGCCAAGGGGAGTTTGAATTGATTTGGGCCATGGTTTGCTTGTTACTGTTTGCTTTGTTGTTGGAGTGAGTCAAATTGAGGGACTGGCTTAAATCTGCCTTGAAGTGGTTTCAGTGATGAGGTTCACAGTGCTGACACAGTCCCAGGTGAGAGGCTACTCCTTGCCCTCCTCTACCCCTGCTATAGAGATGAAAAGGCTTAAATTCACCCAGGAGTCTGGTCTCTGACCACATAGTCTCACTGGTTTTCTGCCACAGTGTAAGGGCTTGCATAGAGGAGGCTGTTGCAATGGAGTGCATGCATGTTCTGTGTTTTAGGACATGGGTTTTAGTGTAGATGCAGCTTTACATGACCTATAAACATGTCCTTATACAGTGACTCTCCTGCTGACATGCTCAACTTGCAGGGAGGATGGTGTACTGCTCTACTTCCCTTTTTGGGCAGCTAGTTTTGCACAAGTGACTTTCGCGTTCCAGGATAATTTAAAGTAATGTTTACTAGAAATGTGGCTTGTCCTTATGTTATCACTTCAACATACACACATGCTCATTCACACTTTTTAAAAAGAGTCCGAGAAAAATGGAACATAAGCAATCTGCTGCCTTGCTGCTATAATAAAGCATCAAAAAAAAGAAAAGGAAAGGCCCAGCTGTTTAAATCCTGGAGTCTTCAGAGCCCTGGAGGAAGGATGGCAGCTCGTGGGAACCAAATGGTGTTGTTTCACATTAACCTGCTTCTTTGAAGCTCTTAACTAGTGAGCCTGGCATATACAGTTTTTGTGGATTCACTGGAGAACAGCAAGGGTGACAACTTCCCTCAATGATGTGTACATTACAGCATAATGAGTGTTTGCAGGATTTTGCCTTTTGGTGGGGTATTCCAGGTTTACCTGTCGCATGGTGCCTTTTTGAAAATCACCCCATTTTTTTGGCAGTGACATTGCAGCACAGGATTTCAGCATGGTTAAGATCGGAAAGTCCCTATGAAGATCGTCCAGCCCTACCACCTAGTGTCTTTTCTTTCAAAGCACAATGCATGTGCTCTAAAAGTACAGAAAAAGGGGACTGCAAAGCAATTATAATTCCAGCGTACCTCTCTACTCACCCTGTGTTTCCAGCGTGGTAATGTGAGGAATGGTCTACTCATTTTCCACTGCTAGTGTGGTCAGCAACCAAATGCCTTTACCATTTATTACTCTGTTCACACTCCTCCCATCCATTCTGTATTTTCATTGATGCAGTATTTCAAAGTATTCTTGTTTTTTTACCAACACAGGCTTTGAAAACCAAGGATAATTTTATTTAGGTTGGCACAGTGAGAGGCACCTGTTGAAAGCTAAGTCTCACCACACCTTGTAAATATAAAATACATTAAAAAAAACTAGTAAGACCTTGCAAAATGAGAAAATTTTAAATGCATATGTATTAAATGTGCATGTATTAGATTTACTTGAATTAGAAATAGTATAAATATATACTTCAGTCATAAATGTATATACGGTCATAAATGTATATAAATGTATATACAGATCCTAGTAGAATCCACTGTATATTATATTAGATATTTGAGAAATCTCTTCTTTCTAGCTTCTTATCCCCTTCCAAGCTTCTTATTGCTTTATGTTCGCAATGTATCAAAAGTTAAAATGTGAACTGATCCTGGATGGAAATGTACCCATCTTGAGACTCAAGCTGGTGTCTGTTTGACAAGGAAGTTGCACATTTTGTGGGGAAAGAAAGAAACATTTGTTTTTCTTTCTTCACTCCTGTCAGTTTTTACATAGATTGAATCTCTAGCTCCAGGCCACCTTTAGAAGAAACATTAAATAAACCTCAAATAAGGTAGATTTATGGGCAAATTTCAAGCGTGAATGGTATAAGACTGATGATAAATCTAATTTATCGCATGCATCTGCAGTTTTACTGTGTGGTTATTACTATTTTATTTTCCAAGTGCGAAGCTTATTTTCCATTGCCCACGGGAATCCATTTCTGTTGCTCTTCTGACACGTGCAAATAAGCAGACTGATCTGCTGAGAGAGCTTTGCACTAAACAAAATTGGATAATCAGATATGACTGCAGTGTGTTTTTATGGGGTATTGTTGAAAGTGGAAGCTATAAACTATTTATCCTTTCTGTGGAAGTCTGTGACTATCTGATGGAAAAGCGTAAGTGCTTAAACAGAGTCCTGCTTAATGAATGCAAGATACACAAGACCTGCAAACAGTCAGTTGTCCTTGTTTTTCCGCATCTCCTAAGGGGAGAGAGAATTTAAATTGCTCATAAAGTTTTATTGTCTGTAGCTATTGTCTCTATGGCAGCTGCAGGAAGCT